TGTTCTTTGAACACAATGAGCTGGATCCAACTCTAAAGATCCACTGTAATTGGCAACAGTAGTAAACTGTCAAACGTTTTACAGATAGGAATCTAAGTTCAATCTGTACTTATAGGTTAGATTTGCACAACATAATTAATTAGTCAGTTAAAGTCCTACTGGCTGCATTTCCACAGCATGCTAGGTTTAGTTAGTTTTAAACTTGATTAGTTTGCTGTGGCTGAGGGTGCTGTATGAATTCAGTTCATCTGGTTAATTTAAGATTCAATATATTGTGCAGACCCAGAAAAGGAGTTAATTCAGTAATCAAGTTACACGTTATATGAATTTACTGCTGTACATACATCTTTTTCATTTTAAAATATCTGCTACTGCACAAGTTTGCAACTGCCTCTGTATTAACTAGATTTTGCCTCTGACTCTGGTATTATTTGTAAACTGTGTTTTCTCTCTACAAACACAAAAGATAAAGTGCATGTGAGCTTTCAAACTTCTACCATAATTGCAAAACTATGCATTAGTGTGTGGCACATTTTACCCTATAAACACAATGGATATTGCACAGAATTCATCAATGTGTGATCCCACAGCAGTGGTTGCCAGTGGAGGAAAAAGTAATGACATAGCAGTGCCTGGAGATTAAAGGGGCTCTTTTTCACAATTGTCACTCTTAATTGTTCTCATATGGGCATATTGAGAGGGGCAATCTGAGGGACAACATTTTAAGCCTGGTTTAGTGAGATCATTATGTTTACAACATTGTTTTAAAACTACTGGAAATTATCTTCCAGTAAACATGGAGAGAGATGGGAAAGAATTTTGAAATTCCTAAGTAGCAGCACAAAATTTCTTTCAGTGCCAGGGCCGTATTAAATTCCTTAGCTCATGTCTGTACAAGTAAATCCCGATCAGGAAATGGACCCAATTCCAAAAAAGGTACAGGACCAAGCTGACCACTGTACATGTATGTATGTATGTATGTATGTATGTATGTATGTATGTATGTATTTCACTGAATTTGTTATGACCACCCACTCCAATAGGCTCTGGGTGGTATTACACTTAAGTAACAGAACTGACTTAATCTTCCAATGTCTATAACTAACTATAACTTAGTGTGTAACTAACCTAAACCATGTAAATGACAACTTCCTGTTTATTCTTACTGCCACATCCATCTCCTTTTCTGTAGTTTTTTCTGTTTGTTTTTAAGGTAAAGATGTCCTTGAGTTAAAATCAATCCCTGGTGACCGATTCCTTCTTCTGGGTTGCCATTTTTCCCCCACAACTTCGCAATCTAGAAAAAAGCCCTGGAATATCCAAGTGGTCCCCCATCCAAGGATTAATTAGAGCTGAACATGTTTATCTTTCAAGTTAGCCAAGTTCTGCTGGATGTTATTACCTGCTGAGGTGGCTGCATTTAAATGTTAAATTCCTTGGGAACAGGGACTGTCACATTTTATTCTGTAAAGCACCATGCATATTGATAAATACAAATAAAAACCTTTAAAAAACATTTGGGAAAAATAAAACAATAAGGTTGCTCATGTATGTATACAAAATGTAGATGTACAACTGTTCCAATACTTCATATGAGACAGACATGACACTCCCACATTCCCTTTCCAATTCTCTTTCATAAATTAATAATTTAAACTCTGCTGTCTTTCCACTCTTAATTATTCTGAACATTCATTCTGCTGACCTGGTTTACATGTAATGCAAACCCACATTGTAGCTCATTTTGCTTACTTAGAATAATATGTGAACCCATCCTAAGAAAGAAAAACAAACTTAAAGTTTTCAAATCATAGTGGATGGGGTCACACATAACTTCCTTATTGATTGCTCTGACAATCCCACCTCTTGGGTTGGAAAGTACAATGATCGGCTCCAGAGAAAATGTGGCTGAAGCATGTGGAAGAAGACCTAGGAAAATTCAAACTCAACCAACAGAAGTGAAACAACTGGCCCATAACCAACAAAAATGAAAGTATATGCTACTGTATGTATCTGATATCTTGTCTTTCCTCCAGGAGCTCAAGATGCTATAACAGTACCTTCTTTACTTTTTCTCTATAATCACAATCCTGTAAGTAAATTTGGGCTGACAGACTGTTATGAAGTCATGTACTGTACTGAATTTCCATGGCTAAGGATAGACGTGAACCTCATTTTATCCCATCCTAATCCCACATCATAATCAATACATTCTGGCTTAATGTGTGAACTATTATTTGACTGAATAATTCCTCTTTGGTTCTGTCCTGTTTCTATAACTATGCCAAGCCTTACTAAACTCAAACTTCTGAGAGTAATTTCTGATATGCTCCTGATGCACAAGATAGAGAGAGCAGAAGCTTCTCCTGTTTCCCATTCTCTACAACTCTGTTTTGCCCAAAATTAGAATTTTCACACTCTCCAGGAAAATTATAAAAAAGATGCAAAAGCTATTAATGTACTAAAAGTCTGTATATGAGATGCAAAAACTGTATTTCAGATAAAACTGAAATATGGAAGAAGCACAAGGCAATTATAATTCCCTTTTCCCCAAAACACTAGAATATAAAACATCTCTTGACAAATCAGTCCAGAGTTCTCATTCGAGGCACAAATTACCAGGCTCAAATTTTCCTACTTCAGACACATTATACAAAGACCCAACCCTCTGGAGAAGGTTTAATGCTGGGAAAGGTAGAAGGAAAGAGAAGAAAAGGTGGTCAGCCGCAAGGTGGATGGACTCACAGTGGTGATGAGTGCACCCTTGGGAGTCCTGAAAGAACAGGTTAGGGATAGATAGTCATAGAGAAAATCTATCTATGTGGTCACTAGGAGTCAAAAAGGACTTGATGGCACATAATCAATCAATCAATCAATCAATCAATCAATCAATCTCAGGACAAACGTTTGTCTATCACTCATCTCTGCTTCCTTTTTCAAGTTTTGCCTTCTATCATGCTATTCATTATCCTTCAGTTCTCTTCCTTTCCTGATCAAGGCATTAATTCCTTATGTATTATTAATTAATTCAATTTCAAGTGCCACCCAATTGCCAAGTGATTCAAGGCCTCTAATACAAAGGATTAAAACAAAATCAAGACAGTACATTAAAAAAAAAATCAAGATAATAAAACAACCATACCAGGGGAATGGCTTGACTGAGTGATTATGTGTCAGTAAGTCAGTGTTGACTCTTAATGACCACGTACATAGATTTTCTTCAGGATGATATGTCTGCCACCTGGTCCTTCAGGTCTTTCAATAGTGCACCTATCACCACTATAATTAAGTCCATCCACCATGCCAGGGGAAAGCAAATCTCCAAATACATAATACCTGGTAGGTTCACAAATCACCCCAGCCCAGTGGCAGAAGGAACAGCCATATTTTTAAGACCTTCCTAAAAGCCAACAGGATTAGGGCTCTATGGACTGGGGGGGGGGGGGGCATGCTATCCCAAAGGGCAGTCATAGCAACAGAGGAGGCATTACTCCTTGACCCCTTTGATGACACTACTTTATTGACAATACCCCGTCAGTTCTTATAGGACTAGCAGGAATAATGGGGGAGAGGTGGTCTCACAAATATCCAGGTCCTAAACCATGAAGGGCTTTACAGATCATCAGCACCTTGAATTGCACTCAGAAGCCAAATGGCAACCAGTGCAGCTCAGAGAGGTATCAAATGGGTGTATCAAGGCTCACTTATAAGTACTCATGCTGCCACATTCTGCACCAGCTATAGCTTCTAAGTAGTTTTTAAGGACAGCCCCATATATTATGGTCTCCTCTTCTTGTACTACCATGTTCTCCAAAAATCTATCTCATAGAATTATCCAGTCCTCCAGAACAGATGCACCAGTGAACTGGGAGTAAAACAGAAATCTATTCCCCTGACAGATTCTGTTCCTTCAATAGACACAGCTGAATATACAATGTATCTTCACATTTTTCTACAATAATTTCATTTAATATGTGACATGACTATCCTAACTCATACTTTCTAGTTTTTCAAACTCTGATCCTCTCACTGTATCAGATGCAACCCTTGGAGGCAAAATGAATGCAACTTCAATCTTCTGAACAGCATCTATTTCACTTTAATACTCGGTAGTAACAAATAAAATAAAAGCATATATGATTTAAGCAAGTCACCACAAGCCACATTTGGTAAGTTAAATAGGACAGACATCAAACAGCAATTATCAGGTGCTCTCACTTTGAAGTTTTCAAAGTGTTAACAAAACACTTTGTTCACAACTGGTTAAAATGGGAAACAGCCAAATCTAAAGTTTTATCATTATGCCCAAGTCTTTCCAGAGTGCATATCTAAATTAATCTTGCCAGCTACTTTTGTCTCTTAATTTACTTTATAACATTTTATTCTTGTAAAACAATCCAAAGATCTTCCAAAGAGTTCATAGTATTTTGAACTAGCCATACAATGCAAGGACGCCGTACTCCTTGCAGCAATAGCCATATACCTCGGGACTACAAATTCTCACTCAGCATCTAGCCAATAATCTTATACATATTCTTTGCTCCCGTACATATCTACTGAGTCTTCCCTCAGCACCCCTAAAGTCTCCCAATCTTCAAGGCAGCAAAACGTTAGAGAGGAAATTCCACCTCTTTATTCAGTGGAAACACTCTTCCCGTACACTAATTTATCCAGCTTCCTTCCACCCACCCACCCGCCGAAAATTTCGAGCCTTGATCCCCTTCCTTACACCTCCCCATGCCGGCCTTTCCGTCCCCGTGTGCCCACGCCAAACCCCGGCTGAAGCAATGCAGCGGCCATGCATTCTCAGGGCGACAGCGATGCCTGGCCTTCTTTCTCTCGAGCCTAGCTTTGCGACGGGGAGGCGGGGGCGGAGGGGTGCCGATTCTCTGCCTCCCACCCCTGGGCCCATCCGCTCCCCCGGCGCCTCCATTGGTGCGCGGTCTCTTCCTCCTTTCATACATCCCTCTTTGCGATTCCAGCCAGAGTCCAGCTCTCACCTCCTAGTGGGGCTGCGGGCCAGGCCGCTGAGGGAGCTGGGGAGGGGGCTGAGGCACTCCGCGCGCTCCTGGTGCGCGCCGGCCCCCGTTTACTCTCGTCGTTGTCACCGTCACCGCCTCCTCCTCCTTCTCGTCGCTCCTCAATCCCTCCGCTTGGGGTACGCAACGGTAAAACGTCCCCTTAGTCGGAGCCACTAGGAGGATCCCCCGGGCAGCAACAGGCGCACCGGCAGCAAAGGTTCCGAGAGTGCACAAAGGTTCCCACATCCCTCGGGGGTTGGCACAGTAGACAGAAAGGAGGCGAAAAGAGAAAAAGGAGGGTGTGAGGACCTACAAAAGGCACCGATCAGGGACAAAGAAGGCCCTTCTTTGCTAAAATGGTTATAACAGAACCTGAGGCAGTCCAGGCCTAGAAAGAAGCAGGGGATGTTCAATCCCAGCGCCGATCTTCTTGTCTTAACAGAGCTCTTAGCAAGCCAAATCAAGCAACCTCGGTCTGCTTGTTCAGGTCAGCTAGCTTCCACACAGCTATTGTACCAAGGGGCCGGGGGGGGGGGGGGGCGACGACAGGTGCCCACGTGGTCCTTACGATAAGAAAACAATGGTTTAAGTCCCGGGTTCTTTTTTTTTCCAATTTGCTAAAAAATAGCAGAATGCAATATAGTGCTTGCATATAAATAGAAAAAACAAAGAAATACTGTTCTGAAGGCCAACTAAAATATCAAAGTAACAGAAAGCATCGGAGCAACCCCAAGAACTTCTGAACGTTTGCAGTACAGAATTACTGACTGAAAGTTCAGAGAAGAACGAGAGGAAAAAAATTAAGTTGGGCAACCTGCAATTGAGGACTACATACAGCCTTCAGCCTAATTTCACAGTGGTGAAAAGATCCCAGAAAGGAAATAGCTTGAGCAACTGAAGAAGGGGAGCCAGGAAAAAAGAAATGATCTGTAAGTATGAAAGCAAAAACTAAAACCCTGTCAGAAGAAAGATGGAAGGAGAGAGCAGGAAGTTCTCTATAATTTATCAGTTAAAATCTCTTGACAAGGGGTGTCCTATTCCTTTTCCAGCAATCTGTGGGGACATAAGAGAATGGCAGAGAAATAAGAAAGAAAAGAAACCATGTTCATCCCTCCCCAGATCATCCAAGCCCTTCCCCACTCTCCCACTGAGGAGTTTATTGTTACTCCAAAAAAAGGTATGGTTTCAGCCAAGCTGTATTATGTGGAGGCTGAAGTTGGTTCTTTATTCCCAATTCCCAGTTCCTGATTAACGTGAAAATTCCAAATATAGTAATCAGTAAAGTGGATATAAATACAATGTTTTTATAATGATAGACCTAAAATTAAAGATAGAACTCCAAAGATAGGGACTCCAAAGGTAGAACTACAGTACTTCATATCTTATATCTTTGTAATCAGGACTCCTCCCCCTTCAAGTTAAGCAATAATATAATACAATAAACACTGTTATTTTTATTCAAAGACAATTCTTTAATTACAAGAAATATGATGCTTGATAACTGAAATTATGCTGCAACTGAACACTGTGTGCCATTCTATCACATGATCACCCAGAAATACACTGTTCTAGTTCTTTGATAAACTAGCTAGGAAAGCAATAAGAATTTTTACACTTTCATACAACAGTTCTCACAAAAGGGAGACAGAAGGTTAACACAGGCTGATGAAATGAGATGGGTGATGAACCATGTTGGACTGGAGAGTTTTGGAGCTGCCAAAAGTTTGTCTGCTCCAGAGTGAACCAAAGTATTCCAGAGTGGACAGGAGAAGACCACTGAAACATTCCAGAGTGAACCAAAGACCACAAAGAAATGAAGAGATCATCCATTATGGGATCATATTTTGAAGGAAGTTCAAGGAAGAAAATGCTCTGCTAGCCTGAGAAACTGCCAGTCATGAGTACTTAACATCCTTGCTTAACTTTAAGTGGGAAAGGGAATGCAGACAAAGCTATACACGTAGATACCCACAAGCCTAACTTAAGCATGGGTCAAGCAGAGAAGAGTTAACCCAGAAATAGTGGCTCATGAAGCATTCCTATTCCTTTATGGTCAAAGAAAGAAGACAAGGGAAGAGGGAAAATCCTGTTTAACTATCTAATACATAATTAGTCTTGCATACAGGAAAACAAAATTATGGTATTCCTAGGTATGTTATAAATAAAGGGAGGATACCCTTACCACAGCAAATGTGAGACACAGACAGCCCCAGTTGCACACCCTGGTGTTAAACTCAAGTTTGCCAAACCACTTTCCACAGCAAATGGGGAAGGGAGATTAGATGATCCTCAAATTGCACCCCCATCTCTATCAGATCGAGGGAGAGATTGAATAAAAATGTCCCATTATGTGTTTAGGCAGCTACTTAAGAAAAGGGATTTTTCTAGGCATAATCTGGAGGAAGAAATAAAACAAAGGAATTTAGAGTGCAGGGATTGGCTTGAAAGCAGGAAGAGAAAGAGGAAAAACAATAGTCAGTCCTATTCAAAGCAATAAGCAGGGGGCAGGGGAGATGGAACTAGAGTGTCCTCAGCCACTGGCCCTGTTTCTAGAGACCCTGCTAGCTTAAAATTCCTAAACTGGGAGAGGGAAATGAGGTTTTCTTGGCAATATTTGAGACAGCTGCAGTGGTGTATCAAAGGCCCAAGAAAGAATGGACAGCATATTTGGCTTCTAACCTCACTGTAAAAGCCTGAAAAGCTTACACTAGTCCTTCAGCTGGAGATTTAAGCGAGTATGACAATCTGAAAGAAGTGATTTTGCACCTGTGTGATGTTAACATATTGAGAATATGCTTTTGATCTACAAGAAAACATTAGAGAACTGTAGGCCAGGTTACTGGATCTAGGAATTAAATGGCTTTAGCCAAATGCCAAAATCAGTATACAATAGTAAAAGAAATCGTCCGTGAACAGCTATTGCATATCCTACCAAATTCAATGAGTTTCTGGGTTCAGGAACACCATCCTGACATGGGAAGAAGGGTGATAGAACCTCCAGAGGATTATTTAGCAGCTCAAAGAGCAGAGGAGAGATGCCATGGACTTTCTTGTTTTAGTAAAACTCCCAGAGCACAAGTTATAACTGCAAGGAAAAACACAAAGACTCAGGAGGCAAATGGAGGCTTACCAGAGGAAAAAGAGGGAAAGGAAGCCCCAGACAAAGCAAAAGAAGCATATTTTCTGCCACTATGGATATTGGGTTGTATCATACAAAGGAAAGAAAATGCAGAAGAGGACAAAAATGTCTGTTATATATGGGATAAAACAAGATATTGGGCTATGCCTCAAAAATATCAAAACTCTAGAATAATTCCCAGAAGAAGTACGAATAGTATGCATCAATTTGCACATCACACAGGTGCAAAATCACTTCTTTCAGATTGTCATACTCACTTAAATCTCCAGCTGAAGGACTAGTGTAAGCTTTTCAGGCTTTTACAGTGAGGTTAGAAGCCAAATATGCTGTCCATTCTTTCTTGGGCCTTACTTGGGCCTGAAATCAATAGTCAGGAAGCAGAAGGCCTCACCTAGACAGAAACATTCATAATGTGTGTCTAAAGGCCATCACTACCATCTTGGGCAGACTAAAAAAGTCCCATTGATTGAAGCTTAGATGTAGATCTAGAGTCAGTAACAGAAAGTTACTGTTAGTATTGTGAAAAAGCTGCCATGCAAAGTAATTACTGATACTGACCTGCTAATATGTGAGTACCTGGTAGCTGGAGATATTGCACTGCAACATCAGTAGGAGAAAGAAGTAGCTAGTGTCACTACCAGAGTTAAAAAGTAACAAAAGGAAGTGGAAGAAAGGATAACGGAAGAGCTATCCTCAATTTTACCCTCCCACTTGGATGTCATTGATCCTGTCAAGTAGCCATATAAAGAAAAAGATTTTAGGTGGGTAGATAAAAGTACTATCCAGCCTTTACAGTGGAAATGGGATGTGGATATAAGCCATCTTTAACAAAAAGGCCCTTCCTTAGCAAGCTGCACGGAGGCAGTAAAGATGACCCTGCTTTTATGAGAAACCTTACAGAGTTAAAGGAGACCCTGGCAGTGGAGAAAAAGTGAAGCAAGTAGTGAGCTCCACAGAGTTTCAAAGCAGACTTATTCAAACTCACCCATAAAAATTCTTAGTCAGACTATGTAGCACAAGAAGAAAATTTTGATGAAACTTAGAAATTGTCAAAGGGCTGGCAGAAACAGATTCCTTTAGGCAGAATAACTAAGGATAAGGAAGTTCATTGTCAATCCTGCCTAGAGTGCCAGGATGTAAAACCCAAAGGGAAACAGGACAATGCTCCCATGGGGAAAAAATCCATTGCTCCTGTCCCATTTTCCAAAATTGCCATGGATGTAGCTGGACCCTTATCAAAGTCAGCTAAAAAGAACCAGTATACAGTATTCTGGTTTTAGGTAACTGTGCCACTAGATACCCTCTTGCACACGATAACAACCATCATAATTGCAACGGAATCAATTCAGATATTTAGTAGAGAGGGCATACCTAATGAGATTTGGACAGATCATGCTCCAAACATTCAGTCTCCACTACTGAAGCATTTTGTATGCAGTATTTGGGCACATCTGGAATTAGAGCTGGTCTGTATCATCCTCCAATGGATGGACTAATGGAGTGTCTTAACCAGACTTTGAAAAAACTGTTAAAGAAATATGTACGGGATAACCCTAAGCATTGAGATGTCTGGCTTCCCTATACTGTATATTTTTGGCATATAGAGAAGTTCCACAGGCTTCCACAGGCTTTTTAAGATGTTATATGGAAGAAAACCAACAGAGATATTGGATGTGATGGAGAGGCTTCACAAATGAAGTTACAGGTCCAAAGAACATAGTTGACTAACTTTTAAAAGCGAAATCACAGAAATTCAGTCACATGGTACCCCCCAAACAACAACAACAACAACCCTAAAGGTTGTGCAAGATATACAAAAACACTGACACAATATTAAGGCCAGGTAGAAATAAATAGGAAACAAGGTGTTGCTTTTGTTATCTAGTCAGGAATGTAAACTGCAAGCTTTGTGGCAAAGCCCATTTACTATGGTACAGAAGATGGAACTTTACAGTATACCTTGCATGTGATCCTTAA